TCTGAGAAATAAAGAGCATTTTAGAGCTCATAATGGAACCTGAAATTGATCTGACGACAGAAAAACTCCAAGAACTCTCAAATGAAGAATACCGAGAAACTCAGCGAAATGTGTTATCTTTTGGAAAAGAGGAAGACGAAAGAGGACCAATGTCGACATCTGCTACTAAAGATCTTTTGAAGGAGTGGGAGGATGTTATATCATCCAAGTGGCAACCAAAGCAGAATAAGGTTCATTGGGTTGGGGATCTCTACAATTACAATACTATTAATTACTTCCGAAAAATCCTGAAGAAAAGAGAAAAGCAATCGACATTGGACAGATTGTTTAACCCCCACAAACGGATAAAACATGACTAATAAAAATGCAAGACAGCATATGTATGTATTTTTACTATTACATGTAAATAAATGGAGTAAAAAAAGTATATATTTTTTTTATTTTTTGGAGTCTTCGGAATGAATTAATCAAATTCCCATACAAACCTATGGTAAATCGATAATCGGTTAACGAGCAATTCGGATAACGAAGAAAGTCTTGGAACGGATTATGTTCGTTAACCGATCACCCACTGTATTTGAAAAGACATATAGACACAAATGGGATGTGTAAAGGATAGAAGATTAGTTTCATAAAGATCTTTGTGATTATCTTTCCTTCTTTTAACTGTAATAAGATATCTAGAAATATTCATCTTTACAACTTTCTTGTTTGAGTTGTAATGAAAGATACAGAGATTGGAGTTGGCTAGGTTAAGAAAACAGTGAACATCTGTCTTTGATTTCCAGACAATTTAGTATGTCATCTATATGTGTACATATATCTGATTTCAATGGTGAATTTCATTATTGTAATGAGGTAGAAAACGACTTTTCTAGCCTCGAATGACTGACTCACACAGGCTAGCGAATAAGCCCTCCTCTGTTGGTACTCTTCTGTTTCACACATAAGTTATATCCTCAAGCTGGAGGGAGGAGGAATAGCAGACCAAGTGTGCAATTTATTATTTTTATATTCATTAATTTTATCATATTTTGTTATTTTGAATTTAACTTATTCATGTTACTTTGCATTTCTACTTCCATAACTTGCAAAATTTGTTTTTGTTTTTGAACATCTATATTCAAATTTGATGAGAGCTAGTAATATAGCTAGAGATGTTTGATCATTAAAAAAATAAATGCTAGACTGTAAGGTTTATATATTTATTATTTCATTCAGTATGTCTGTTTTGTCATTTTTACATTATTATAAGAATATTAAATAACCATATAGTAAACTGAAATATCTTATTTCTGTTAAGATTTTTGTAGTAATGGAGAAATTGAAAGGAGATATGTTAGATATGATTCTTACGAGTGAGAAAAGGCGCCTTTCGGAAAGAATTACAAAGTTCCTCGTATACCAGGTGTGTTTTATCGGTTTGTTACATTTTATAACTATTTAATACAGTTTTAAGCACTGTATCGCTTTAAATTTATATGTTGTTATAATATTACTTAAATATTTTAGATTTTAATTGCTTTAAAACATCTTCATTCTAAGAATATTGTTCACTGTGACTTAAAACCAGAAAATGTGTTGCTGTCTTCTAATTCAGATTTTCCTCAAGTAAGTTAATTTGTTGTTTATTATATTTTAATAACAAACATGCTTATTAAAGAAATAAAACGTAAATCCATTTCATACTGCTTTTCTCGGAATGAAAAGTTTTTAGAAAACCAAAATACCATACTTTCAAGCTCAATACCTATCATCAGTCAACAGGATCTTTTTTCTCTTGCTAACCTCCTGATGAATTGTTGGATAATTCAAGTATAAAGTAAAAATTTTGTAGGTTTGTAGGTTTTCACCCCAAGAAAAGCAATATAAATTGGAGTTAATAATAAAATATAATTTAATTACATTTTAATGAAATGCATGTTTCTATAAAATGTATCTGAATATTTAGAGATTTGCAAAATTAATTTAAAAAAATATTTTATAGGTAAAACTGTGTGATTTTGGATTTGCACGAATTATTGGTGAAAAATCCTTCAGAAGATCTATTGTTGGAACACCAGCATATTTAGGTAAACATTTGAATATACAGTATTTAAAATACAGTAGAGCGTCGTTTATCCGAATCAATTGGAGACTGGGGTTGTTCGAATAACTTATTTTTCAGATAATTGATTATGTACGAAAAAATATATTAACCTATCCCATGTCGAAATTTTTCTCCGTTGCATGTCACTTCGCATTAAATTTTCGTTGATGTTAAACCTAACATAAACTTTTTAAAATAATAATCGTGGCTATTGTATCATTAAAAATTATTTCTTTATTTTTTACACAAAATAAAAATATAAAAACAAAAAAAATTATACTTTAGAAGTTATCTAGTATCAAAAACGTTTGATTCAGCACGACATACAGTCCTCAGAAAAACACTACACAAAAGTGCCAGTGCTGCCAGCTAAAACACACACACCAACAAAAAAAATATTGGAGTAGCCCAAGATATAGCCAAAGATTGCAGTGCCACAGCACTAGCAAAAATTTAAATTTGCCGACTGGAATTCTTTCAGATAACTGACATTTCAGATAACTGACTTTCAGATAAACGATGCTCTACTGTACATTATAATACAATACAATTTATATTGTTACATACAACATTATTTTATACATTATTATGTGTATTTTATAACTACTAGAAATTTCTCTGTCAAGCATGATGGAATATTTTTTATGAAAAAGTAGAGATTTCAAGAAATTGAAGAATGGTTGCTAATATTGCTACAAATGAAGTACTACTATCAGAAGTTTATACTATCTGTTGTAACATAAAGAGCAACAAAACACAATTTCACCTGGAATGGACAGAAATAGTAGAAGTTATAGAGAATTCATTTACATACACATAAAGAAATGAGACTTTATATTAAAAAAAATATTAAAATCTTTCTTTTTTGTAAAATTTCTTTATACACTACATTCTGAGTAAACACTATTGTCTTTTAAAAGGTTTCCCTGCTGTCTTCCTTTAGTAATAGACATTCAATAATGTTTTTGTTTCTTGAACAGGATAAAGCAACATAGATTTGACCAATTTTACTCTTACGCTTTCCCCTAGACATTTTTACTTTATTTTTTGACAAAATAATGAGTCTCTTTAATTCCACATTGATAAAACAAAGATGAATTGTATGTATGTTAGTTAAATGAGCAATAACATTTTCTAAATAATGGGTTTGTTAGATCACTTTCGATTGGATAATAGAACATCACATGGTCACTATGGGAAGATTTTTTTTTTTTAATTTTGTTATAGAAGTGATATGATGCAGTTAACTTTTTTTAACGTTTAAATTTTAAATTTAATGAAGTAAGTTTGAAATACACCATTTGCCAAAATATTTAAGAATGCAACTTAAGAGAAATTCCATCGTCAAGCACATACTAAATGAGGTCACAGACATCACTGCAATGTAAGTGCAATCACCGATCTGAAATCAATAAAACATTTATAGCTAATACTTCCATAAAATAAGTAGCCTACACTTTCCATCAGAACATAAAACAAATAAAATCAAAATTTCATCTAGTTTTGCAATAGAACCAAACTTCATAAAGTTTGGTTCTATTGCAAAACAAATCCTCCAGACAAAACTCTAGTATAAGATCTGCGAGAGGGGCAGATCTGACCTTTGTGTAAACTAAAGAAAATAACAATTGTTTGAAATATGGTATGTACAGTACATATAAATGATCAACAACAATGTAAAAGTTAATGGATTATTTAATAAAACAAATGATGCTATTGTAATAATAAACAATAAAAGGTTATTAATTACACAATGGCTATTAATGAATTTATTAATATATTAATATCCAAATTATAAAATTATCATATTAATTATATTAAAATTAATACATGAAGATTATAAAATAGTCATAATTAAGATATAACAAAAATAAATTGTATCCATCAAGCAATATTCCAATCACTCTATAGTTTATCCTTCACTTAGCAGTGCTAAAACATCTTATCATCTCCAATCCAACTAGACAGATTAAGTGAACTAGATCATTGGATGGATGATTGCAGTTTACATCATAAAAACGAGACATGGGATGAAATCTGCAGGAGCTGGTTCTGTCTTACAGGACATCTGTGCATGATAGCTCTGGCTACACCCAAGTGAAACTCCACCTATGTAGAAAGATTGTTCTTTTTTGGGATTGCTTTACTTTAACAGCACTTGCCATCAAAGATAAGTTAACAGCATTATGGCAGATAACGAAGAATGCTCAGACAAAAGTCAAGGGCCCAGAAGCAGTAGCAATAGGCATACAACACTAATATGTATTTTTCTATCAACTGTTATTTTCTTTGGTTTGTCTGGAGAAGTCAAATCTGTTCTCTCAGACCCTGTAGAAGAATTCGGTCTTGGAGATTGGCTTTGCTATAGAACCAAACTTTACAACTTTTGAAGAAGTAGGAAAATATTAGTTTCCATTACAACAATAGGAAATTTAAATAAAATATGTGATACTGTGGCAGCCATGAAAATTGCATCACCTATAAAATCCTGTAAAAATGCATTTATTTTTTTAAGGTATAATTTTCTGCAGATTTACAAGAAACTGTAAAAGATTGCATTTTCCATAACATCATAAACAAGGGTATGCTTTTTATTTGTTGATACAGTTACCATGACTGCCACTCTACTACAAAAGAACTTACAGTTAATATTCTGTAAAGTGTCTTGTTCTTTTATCAAGCAAAGCAGCTATCTTTTCATACAAAGTAAAACACATGGTAAACAAGTAGTAATTATTTTTTGTTTAATAAAAAATTATTGAATTATTTTTATGAAATTTTTTTCATTTTAGCACCAGAAGTTATACTGAATAAGGGATATAATCGCTCATTGGATATGTGGTCTGTTGGAGTAATTATTTATGTTAGGTAAATACAGGTATATTTATTAACTTTTTCAATTTTACTTACATTTAAAATTATATAAAAATTTAAAATTATACTTCTTTGTAGCCTTAGTGGGACTTTCCCATTTAACGAAGACGAAGATATCAATGATCAGATTCAAAACGCAGAATTTATGTTCCCTCCAGATCCTTGGAAAACTATTTCCTCTGAGGGTATGTATCGCTATTTTAAAAAAATAATGTAATATAATCAAAGCTGATTTGTTTTTTTAAATAAAAATAGTCATTATATATTTTAGCAATTCATCTGATCAGTGGTCTTCTTCAGTTAAATGCCAGGAAGAGGTATACCGTTGATAAAACTTTGGCTCACACTTGGTTACAGGTAAAATAGTAATTGCTTTTATTAAATATTTTAATTATTTTATACTTAATAAATAAATTTGTTATTAAACAAAGAAAATTGTATTTGTAAAAAAATGTGTAAATGTGTTCCTTGGAAATGTATAGTTTTCTGATATTTTTTATGCTGAATAATTATTTTAATAACAGTTAATGCAAGAGTGTAACAGTTAATAATTGTTTATATTGTATGATGGATGAATAGAGATAGTCTAATAATATTTTAGACAGAAATGCACAGGTTGTTGTCCTCATAATTAATTCTTTTCAATACTTTATTGTTTAACATAAAATTTTTAAGTTAAATATTAAAATATTAAGAATTTTTCTTTATTATTTTTTCTCCCGAGATCAATAAGAGAAATTTTTGTGTCCTGTCCATCACAAATTCAGCCAAGCCAAATGGTGATGGATAGGGCCTGCTGTATCTAGATTAATCATGAAAATTTTTGAAAGTCCAACTTATACGCAAACTGGAGTCTCTCAGAACATCAAAGATGCTATGAGAGACTTAGGGCAAGCTGCTTTGGTCCATTTGTCCAATGTTAGATTTTGATGACATTAAGAAAGTTACACTTATTTGTCAGATAGAAAAAGATTTGTAGTAATAATTGTGTTTAAATGGCTAAATTTAGTTTTTAATTATTCCATTTTTAAATGTTTAGTACTTTTATCCTAATTTCTCTATCGATGAATATATTTATTTTATATAAGTTAATGTTTTGTCATTAAAACATAGCATTTCTAATGATATATATTTCTATATATTTTAAATGTTATCACTAGGATTATCAAACCTGGTGTGATCTAAAAGAATTGGAATCAGAAGTAGGACAGAGATATTTAACTCATAAGTCCGACGATGCACGTTGGGAAGCGTACCGATGCCAACATAATCTCCCTCCTGCTCCAGCATCACCTTATCCATTGGAGACAGATGAAGACAATATGGAGGAAAGCGATTCTAGTCCATCTGCAGACACGACTGTGGATTCTATAGGAAAGTCAAAAAATACAAATATGTAAAGAAGTTATCTAATAATGTTTCAATTATAGTTTATATCAGCAAATTGCATAAAAAAAGGATACAATTCATTTTACGTTTATCAGTTTTTAGAGTAAAACAATAAATAATTCGCATTAGACTTAATCAGATTATTAAAATGATTAATGTTAAATAATATATACCAAATTGGTATATTTTTTCTTATAGATAACTTATGAGAAAGTTTTTAATATTGGACTTTGAAATATTAAAAAGGAATTTCAGAAGTTATATAGCATTTAGAATATCTATCATCATTAAATGGTTAAAACTTATTTAGAACATTTGTGTAATTGTATAAAATTAATGAAAAAAAATTTATACATGTAATGACTAATGCAACAGTTTTTTATGGTATATATTGAATATATTTATAACAAGTTAACAAATTTTATTACTTTACATGTTCTGCATGGCTGATAAAACAAATATTGCGAGTCAAAGCATAGTTCATGGACTTGAAAGGTTCTTGCAAGATTAGCATCTGTTTGAATTTCATATCTGAAAGCACTACTTTTCAAATGAAAAGTTTATTTGCAGGAAGTAAACTTTGGGATGCTGGGAGTCGAGGTTATCCTTCAACTCTGTAGTAAATAAATGTTCAAGATTTAAATTTTACTCACAATGCATAGTAGGGCAGTAAGGAGCATATTGATTTGCAGCAGAACGGCATAAGAGTATCTAATGCCCTAGACAAAGAAAATTTAGGCACCCCTATATATTATTTGTAAATATATATTATCATACTAACACAATCACACATGTATTCCTATATGTGTAGATACAGTTGACCTCCCCTATAACACGGTAGATACGTTCTGGTTTTTATGAATTCATTTTCTACGAGTCCAGCCAATCACAGCCCGGCACGTATGCAGTTTACAGACTATGGCTGTTTGAAAGGTTTCTTTCATAAAATTAATCGATTCTAGACTAATTCGACTCAACATTTCCAAAATACGTATAAGTTTTTGGGAATAATCCATATAAACTATGCTATAAACAAAAAATCGTAGGATTACTTACCGAGCGTGCACTGTTCGACTACGGGGAACCAAGCTTAAGCAATGGCTTAAGCTTGTTTTCGTCATAGAGCTTGTCATTGAATGGCGCTCGTGTGCTTCCTGATAAATTATTTTTTTTGCAAAAAATTAACTGAACATTGGAGACATCATTAATATAAATATAATTTTTATGGGCGTTAAATAATAAATGGTTTTTAGTAGGTCCGCTGCTCGTTTAAACTCAAAAGTTTGTACAATATCCACTATTGGTCTAGATTTGACCAATCCTGTCGCGATACGAGTCGGCGATGACATTTTACCGAATTATAGGAGTTTTTTAGTATGTTTGTACGAATACTGTCGCAATTTTTTCACCATGATATAGGAATCCGAACTATAGGAACCCGTGTTATAGGGGGGTTGACTGTATTTATAAAAATAATATTATGAACATTTTAAAAATTTTTATTAATTAACACTTATTAGTAATCCATCTTCACTTTGTGTATGAGTAAGGCTGGTGCCTCCATATCTTGACACTCCTAGGTGATTGCCTGGGTTCACCTAATGGTCAAACCAGCCCCGACTCACAGCATCTCCAAACATGCTACAGTAAACCTGTTAATTCAATTTTACAAAGTCTATATCAAAAAGTAAACTTTTTGATTGATCACCCTGTTAAATATACTGCACCACCCTAACTTTTTAATATTTTTCACTAACTAACAGTTATTATATTGACAGATCCAGCCAAAATATTTATCCATCCATGATCTATGCTTTAAATATGTATGGAATACTAGGTAAGAACAGGATACATTTAAAACAAAAGTTTAAAAATTCTTACAAAATAAAATGAAATATTGTAAAAGTTAATTGAGATAAAACAAAAAATATCAAATATATAATTTAAGATACTGCCAAGAAAATTGATCTTGTATTATATTTAATAACTCTTTGGATTAATATTTTTGTTTTATCTTAGTTAAAATTACAAAACATATGTACATAATTTAAATAATGTAAAAATTTTTTACATCTAAATATAGATATAACATACCATATCAATATACATCATATATTCATATATATTACTGTATATTAGAAAGAAAATAAAAATTTACATATATATATATAATTTTATATTAATCAGTACTTCATTTTTAAAGTTATTTAATATGTTGGTAATTAATATTTCATTAAAAATTATATTAGTCTTGTATATCACAAGGTATTCTATTTAAATATCTTCTAAGAGTAATCATTTAATGTGTTATTTACCATTATATGGAAATTTAAATGGTCTAACACAATACATCATCCAAAAGTTAAAAGTGATGGATTTGATTGTTATTGTACGATATAAAATTTATATGATTGTTAGTAGTTGAGATTTAGAAGTTATATATGAGGTGGCATGGTAGATGATACAATACATGATTAACTTCATAAGTGCAGTATGCATTCTTATGTACATGGATGAACAAAATATTTCAGTATCCTCTCTTAATGAGAAAAAACTTATCGGAGTTGGAACGGCCGTAATATATTTGGCCGTGATAATTCGTCTTATAAAAACCAAGCAAGTGCCATTTTTATATAAGAATGCATATCATTGGATACTGTGCTTAATGTGTATTTGAACAGATTTACCTTTATTGTAAAACATATATCCTTTTTAATAACTTTCCTAATTCTAAGGAGAAAAAATGGTTTTCATACTTATAAACTCTAGTTCTTTGTTGTTGTGTTTTCCAATTAAACAAATTTTAAATAAACGCAGTTATTATGCAATTAATAATTGATAAATGGTTTTATAAATCATCATAATGCTGTTCTTTATTTCAGTGTTGCATATTGTTGCAGAATACGGTATCTCTCGATTTATGATGCAATTCCCTTCTACTCTTTCGGTTGTAAGTCTAATTTCATATAAAAATATTAAAGGCATATAAATATGTAATAAAAATTAACAAACATAAATGTTCTAAATGTTGATTGACTTTATTTCTTTTAAAGTTTCATATTCAGGGCCTGATTTGCATGCCTCTAAACAAATTGCAGCTTGGGGTCTTGTATTATGATTCTATAGCTTAGGGTTGCCTGTTACGTGTATCATTATTTGGCAGGATGGAAAGGTCTGTTACATGTTATAGCCTAACGTCCCAACAAGTTTAAATCCAGCCCTGTTTTTATACAAATGTTTTCATTTTTTTTTTAATATGTTAATCTTTGGGTTGGTGTAATATGATGAGAGTCCCGCAAGTACTTCTATTCTAGCTAACTTCTTGATAGACACACAATTTTTAGCATTGATATCTTATCGGGATATAGGCACATAAAGTAAAATAACTAGAAAAGATAATAGACATCATTTTCACCATCCCACGTTATCAACTAAAAAACATTTTGGTTTATCATTGAGGAAGTAGCATGCAAGGATATTGGCCAATTTGAATTATTCTCATGCAATCTCACTATCTTAATTTTCTAAATTTATACTTTCAATCATAAATTCGAGTGGTAAGTGGAGCTAATCACGAGTTGAGGGATACCCGTATAGTGAAATAAATACATTTAGTTATTGGTTAGATGTTAATATTGATTTATCATTGGTAAGATAACATTAGATTCAGTTTGTTTATATTGATGTTATTTCTGCACATAATTTAAAGACTATATTGATTTTTAAAATGTATATACATGTAAATCTATATATTTTTAAAATTTATTTTTTAATATTTTATGTAATAATTATAAAGTCATTTAAAAGTGAAATCTATGATTATCTTATTCTTGTAGAGGATAAGAATTTGTTTTATTGGTGCCATATATTTATTTATTAAGCAAAATGGACATTGCTGTGATATTAATAACTCAATTATAATTATATATATATATTATTTTTGATGTTGTAGATTATTAAAAAAGAATTTTAATTTTATTAAGAGACAAAAGAAAAACTGCCGTTATTATAAAATACATCAAAAATAATAAGAATAGCCAAAATCCAACCACTGATAATTGATTTATAAATAATATAGTTACCGAATTTAAATAATTGCTATTCAAAAAAATATATTTATTATTAATTATAAATAAAAGATGACCAAAGTGATTAAGGCATCAGCCTGCTGCTCCAAGTGGGACCAGATTTAAACCTAATCTAAACAAAATATGGCTCAGGGCCTTATGCTAAAAGACTGAAATTTAAGGCTTTGCATTTTAAAATTTATTGTTATTTAGTAGGGTTGGAAGAGCCTTTTATATGCTATAATTTATGACTATAGAAACTCTAAATCTGGCTCTTGCTCCGAGGTCAAATCTTAAAATTTTTATACTTAGTTTGATATAGATACGTTGGGACTAAGTCTGTATTCTGTCATTCGGCCAGTTATGGGCCTGGCCAAACAAATACAGTCAAAAAAAAAGACCCTCTTATTGCCTGTAGGGCAGAAGGAGTTTTAAAAAAATTATAAATAAAAACAGTTTTTAGAAAATGAATAAATTGAATTAAAAAATATTTCAAAAATTTCTATAGAATTGCAAAGTTTTATAATATTTTAGAGGATGTAATTTTAACTAATAAGTGGTTGGATTTTGCTTTATTTACTACGATTAAATGCAGAACTTGAAGAGAATTGCATTTGAAATATAAAATTCAAGAAAAAAAAAATTCTTCTTAGACAAAAATCCATTTTTATATAGATTAAACTGGTGCTTAAAATGAGCTATTATATAAAATATATATATTTTGTTTTCAGGAAAATTTCATATCAGCAATTTTCAAAATACCATTTTACCAGTAACTTATCTATCCACATGTAAGTACATTAAAAAAAATTAAAATACAAATTTTATACTATATCTATGGTAAGAATAATTTGAAAAGACTAAATGTTATTTATTAAAAAAATAAGTAATAATAATTGGCGGTCACTGCTCATTCCACATCACTTCTCGGCAATGGTACAGTTTTACTATATAAAATAAGTAAAGCAAAATGTAGTTTTGACATCTTCAATTCTATATAATAGAATAAAATTTTCTGAATAAAAAATTAAAGCTAATATAACTTAAATATTATAAATGTGCTGAGTGTAAATACCAGGAAGATCAAATGAACAGAAACTAACCAATTTGTGACACGGATAAAGCTGATAAAGGAAGCAAAATCTTGCTTCGACTGTGGCTTAAATTTACCTTCTATGCCGTCTAATCCCTGTATTTGGAAATTAGTTTGCATTTGTAAATCTAGACATATCAAAAGTAAGGGCAGAAGTAGATTTAAACTTTGTCTAGATGGGTGCATTTTTAAATTATTTGCGCCGTTCCATCCTATATCAGAAAGAAAAATTGTACAATATTAAAATAAATTTGTCGTCTTCGTCCAGATTCATTCTGCTTACCTTTCAAATTTTCTTGAAATTAATGAAAACACACTCAAATTATTTTGTGGCAAGCATCATAAAACACTTTGGAAAGTTCTGTAGCAAAGCCAGAAAGTATTTGTGCACATTTAATATGGTATAATAGAACATGATAGAACATATTTCAGACCATGTAGTGTTTATAAAGCAGTGCATGAGAAGTGAAGTTGGATTCTTAAGTGATGGTCCACTCAAAATTCTTGTAACACATTTTATGAATTTCACAAATATTGAACGATATTAAAAAGAAATACTAACATTGAGAATTAATTCAATGAAAATTTGTAACATTAGCACGTTTGTTATATCTTAAATGTGGTTTCATATGCTTTCAATCATATTGAGTTAAATAAAAGCAAATGATTTTTTGCTTATATTTTGTTAAATGTTTTCATATTCTATATACATATATGAATATATATATATATAGATAGATAGATCTTTTCACTTCATATTATTAAATCTTTATTGATATTTA